TTTTTTTTGCTGTGTGTGGTTTTTTTTGAGAGCCATTCAAATTGCCTGATAATTTAAAATAGAATATGGATGATATGTTTAACAAGTTTGTTATAGTTGCAACAATACAATAATTCACATAGAACATTATTTTGTAAACAAGATTTTGTGAACAACTTTGGCTAATAAAGGGCACATACATTGTAGAGCATCCTATATCAATGTTGAACAATATATAATTGTTATGGAATATTTGATACGAATACATGGCCACAGGAGTGGATATTATTAGTTCATATAATAAAAATATTAAAGTAAGTTATATGCAAGGTAAGCCTACAAATCTAAGCCTACATATTCAAGTAAAACCCTTTACTGTCATCTAATGCTACTATTAATTGTAATCCTCTTACATTGCGAAATTAAATTAGAGCCAGTGTTCTTATAATGGAAAACAATTTTGAGTTTAGAACCTACATTATTTGAAGAATTATATTCAAAAGCATTTGTACCCAAATTAATCTTGTTTCAGCCATTTATTCAAATTTTTTTCCATGCACTAAACAAGATATATTTTTGAAGGATCACATTATCATGTCAGTATAGATATATCCTTGTATATAAATTTTGATAAATTTCTAACAATCCATGTAGAAACGTATGCGATACAAACAAATTTAACACATAAATGCTTTGCATAGTTGAAAATAGTACGTAACGTAATAAATGGATGAAACAATCGAAATTTTAATAAGAGATTTAAAAAAAATTAAAGTCATACACTTTATCAAAACTTCTTTAAAACTCATCATTGACATATTAAAATGTTAATGATGTTTTATTGTATTTCTTTGTTAAATGCCTACACCGCTTGTCACGGTAATACTATTATGTCATTATCTAAAAATAACAAAAAGAACAAAACAAACAAACAAAAATGTGATAGAAACGTATATGTGTGGAAATTAAAGAACATAATAATAAATTTACAACATGTAAGTTATTTCATCTAAAAAGGAGGAATAAACTGGGTGCTTTACTGTTCTGTTTGTAATACATTGTACCTATGAGATACTTATATATTCATAAACAGCAACAACTCATTCGGTGGCTTATTTTAACCAAAGGATAATTGGAGCTACTCTTCAAACTTTCGATGTCCCCATCCCCTCACAATTTATATATAAACCTGGTCATAGATATTTATAAAGAAACCCACAAAACAGTAATCCCTAAGTAACGCTGAAGCATCATTTACGAGCGCTTAAAAACTATGGGATAATTCGTATCCAAAGTAAGGCCCCATTTATACCTCTCAAAGAAAAATATAGTAAATAGTTGAAAATGTTAAAAACACATTTGTTATTTTAATAAATCTGCTAAAGTGTTCCAAAGAGATTGAACGTTTCGATTAATTCACCATTTCATTAAATATTAACGTTACATTTTATCTAATACAAAGAAACTCCAACAGTTCAACTTGGAGACTGTCCTAAGACAGTAAGTTACGGCACAGAAGTCAACTGCAGTTGTGAAGGAAAACATCTAGGTACAAACGGGTCCATCAGTTGGTATCACACAAGTGGTGAACTTATAGTCAGTGATCAAACTCGCGTTTTCTTGTTAATTGGTGAAAATAAAAATACAGGTAAGATAGTGAATATTTATTAGTTTTTATAAATTAATATAGATACTTATCTTTATATATATATGTCTGTATTTATTTTTATAATTAATTGTATGCTTGTTATTGGTCCTGTCGTACAATAAAGTTGATAGTCCTTACGGCATATGTATGGCCAAGTGGATGATTGTGCTTAAGTAACTTTTTTTTTTGAATAGTCAGTCACGATCCAATTTCAAAAAGCAATTCCACCTAAATATCAATACTGACAAAAATGTTTGACTCTTTTTCTTTTTTGTGTGGTTGTTATGCAAGAATTAAATTGACAAATGAAATGAAATTAAAAGTTATTTTAAATTGAAAAGCTAAACTTTTAACTACATTTCAAAATAGTCAAAAGATTTATGGTCAAAAGGAATGTTGTGCTTTTTCTACTATACTTTGAAATAAGTACATTTTTATAGCGCAATAGTAAATTTAATTTGCAACTTCATGTTTACTTTTAGACTTTTACTGCGAGGCCAAAAACATTTGGGACTTAAAAAGTAATCAGGCTTATTACAAGATAAACATTATTTGTAAGTTTATAATACTATTATTTCCTTTTAACATTTTAATAAACTTATTGCAAAGTAAACTATAAAACAAATGTATATATATATATATATATATATATATATATATAATCTTTAAAATGTAGGAAAAATCTTAATGCAACTTTTTTGTACAGTTCCAGCACTCATTATAAATCTAAATATCAATGGCAAAAGAAAGAAAAAACAAGAAGTGAATCCAAATTCTAAAATAGAAATTGTATGCGAAATAGAAAATGAATCTGTCCAGGAAATACAACTTTACAACGGTCAATTGCTGCTAAATAAAACAAGTTCTTCAAGTTTTCTTAAATTGATGTATACAATGAGCTGTGAAAGCTTTAATTTGTTCACATGTGAAGCTGTTAAATCCAAAAAACAAATAAATCAAACTGTTACAGTTTTAGCGCAATGTAAGTATATTTGTTTATCATTGTTGTTTAATTTTCACTAAATCTTTAACATTTTAGATATTTAGTTACAAAAAAAAAGTTATAAGTATTTAATTTATTTTCTTTAACAAGCATATTTGATTTTATAAATTTGTTTGCATTAACATAGCTTTAAAAAGGAATTGCTGCATCAATGATTAAATTATAAAATTATTTTTTTATTAAATTTAAAAACAAATACATCTATTAGAATTGTTCGAAGTCCATCTCATTTTTAGAAAAGTAATGCTCATTATTTAAATTTAATTTGAAATTTTAAAGCTATGTATACCGTATTTTCAGGCCCCATTAGGAATAAAATCCCTAACCAGGAAACAAATACAAACGTTTTTGACGGACACAAAAATAGCTCTCTATCAATTACATTGGAAATATACGGCTATCCGAAGCCGAGAAAATACAGTATTTTAAAAAGTTATCTTCCTAAACTCGATTTGATAAGTGACAATCAAGGAGATGTCATAACAAAAGATTTGGTCTTTGAATATACAGAAGATGTCGAACCATACGGGACATTAAATCTGACGTTTACATCCTTAGAACAGGAGGATTTCACAAATTATGTGCTTGCTATTGAAAATGGAGTCAGTCCAGCGTTTTTGTACTCATTTTCAATCCAACATGGTAATTATAACACCGCGTTTCGCGTACTTTTTTTTTTACTAGGAATAAGAAAATTGACATAATAGCATGGACATGTTGCAATAATTTTCGATATTTTGTTCTTTTAATTAAAGGTGCTACTTAAAGGAATGTCAGATCTAACTAAATAGTATACATACTTAAATTTTAAGTGAATCTGAAAGCAACTGCTTTTTTAAAATAATATAATATATATAAGAAACCAAAAATATATATTGTGACTATTAAGAATTTTTGAAGAAAAAAATTTTCAAAACGAAATCATAATAAGATAAATGTTAGACAGTACTCATTATATTACTATAAAATTTGTAGAATTTAATACATGAAAAAATACATTATTAAGTTGTTTTTATTTTTTTTATTTTTATTGTTAATGGAAACTTAATTATTTATTAAATTTTACTTAGTGCTTCCAATTTGTATCGTCTTGTTTGTTTCTAGATAATACGTACGCAATTATATTTGTATTTAAACTCAAATTAAACATATTATTATTTATTATGTTTAATTCATAATTAACCATTTGCACTTCATTTCATTTTTTTACTTTTCATATTTACACAGTTCCTGACTCAAAACTTGACAAAGGAAATATCAATTATACTTACATTGCTGTCAGTCTTGCCAATGCTGCGCTATTTGCTACAGTTACAACTATCATTTGCGTATGGGTTGTACGCAAGAGGAGAAGTACTTTTATTTAAAATTTGATTTAAGTTAAATTAAAGAAATAAATAGCACGACTATAAATCAACTATATTTTATAAAAGTTTGACAAAGTTAAGCGTGTTAAAAGAATGTTTAATTTACAACTACATGCTTTTTTTATGTTTCTTTTACAACTAAATTTACAATCTAAATTGTTTTTATTTTTTTTACCCACAGATCAAAGGAAAATTCAAAATGCAAGAAATATGCGCTTGAAAATAAAGTGGTATGAAAATGAGTCTTGATGAATGAAGTCCTCTACCAAGCCATACATAATGTTTGCATTCATAAACAAACAGACATATGAAACTGTTACGTTAGAAAACGGTAATACATAAAAAAAAAGATAATGCGTTTCAAATTAAATTAATCATATTAAATATTATATATATATATATATATAAGAATATCAATTATTTTTTAAAAAAATGATGATTCTTTCTTGTTTAAGAAATTTAAAAAAAACAGCATTCATGTGTTTATTAGAATATTAAATTGATATGTTGTTGTAACATTATTCATAGTCTTTAAACATTGCATATTTGTATACATTTTTTATAAATTCAGAGCAGTGCCAAAAATATATTTTTTTTCATTTGATTTAAAATTTTAAAAATACAATGGTGCTGTGACTGTCACTTCGATCGTAAGGGAGAGAGGGTGTGTGAGGGTAATCAGAAACGTGTGTAGTCTCGGGGTTTTGGCAATATTTTCTTTTATAAATTTATAATGCTGAGATACGTATACCTGATTTTAGGTGCTCGGAGATCTAAAATAAATAGGTAAGAAGCAGATGAGATGATAAGCGAGTTTTTTTTTTTTAATTTCTTAACTCTTTTTTTAACAAGGTCTCATTATTAATGTTGTTTTATCAATTATATTGTAAACTACTTGATTCATTAAAGAACTAAATTAATAAATTGTCATTGGAAAAAGGTAGTTTAACAATATTATATTTTCCATGCATGTTTACGTCATTTAAAAAAAAAGAGCAAATACCTGTTAACGCTAATTAACACTTAATGCATAATCGTATACCCTAATCTAACAAAATTTTAACTACGCCTAACATATCCATATGTACAGTTAGAATTGTATTTACATTTTTATTTTATTTTTGTTTTTAAATTGAAAGAACACGTTACAACATATTTCCCAAAAATTGATAACAATCTTAAATTTAAAACCACCTACGATTAAGCTGAGCTAAACATGTGGTGTTTGTAAGACATTTCAATAAAAAAATAACATGTGGATATTACAATTTATAAATATATAAAAATGAACGTCTATATCTATGTATCGTTGTATCTTTGTGTGTCTCGTATGCGTTCCTACGCCATTCATGAGATTGCGACAAAACTTTGGTGAATTGTTTTCCGCATAACTGGCCATTTAACTGAGTCATTATAACCCTTGTACAATGTTCTGTGTTCAGCCGTTGGCCCTTAATTCATTTTTTTTTCCAATATGAGCTTTCTAAAAAAAGATTTCCATATGCGCTCCTACGCCATTTATCCGATTCCGATAACACTTTGGTGAGATGTTGCGAGCATGTCCTTAAAAGTTTCTAAACTATTTCAACCGTTTTAAAATATTAAATTTTGAGCCAGAGATCTTTGTTCCATTTTCCTTTTATGAGCTATATAAATATATTTTCACACTGTATGCCCTCCTAAACCATTAATGTGATTGCAACAAATTTTGGGGATGTGGCCCCGCATTTGACTTTGTTGTTTAAACACTTTTAAAATATTCCGTTTTCGGCCGTTTGCCCTTAATTCGTACGTTTTCTCATCTGAGCTTTGTAAAAAAATAATTTTCGTATGCGCTCCTACTTCATTTATTCAATTACAATAAAACTTGGTGAGATGTTGCTGCCAGCACGGCTGCAAATGTTTTTGAATTATTAGAACCATTTCAAAATATTCCGTTTTTAGCCAGGGGCCCAATGTTCTTTTTTTCTTATATAAACTATATGCATATATTTTCCAACCGTATGCACTCCTACACCATTAATGCGATTGCGACAAAACTTTGGTGAGTTATTATCAATAAGCCTGCGCATTTTACTCATTCATTACAACACTTTTAAAATATTCCGTTTTCAGCCGTTGGACCCAAATTAATATTTTTCTTATATGAGTTTGTAAAAGATAATTTCCGTATGCGCTCCTATACCATTTTTCAGAATGCGATAAAACTTTTTGAGATGTTGTGCAATCGCCCACAAAGATTCTTAAATTATTTCAACCGTTTTAAAATATTCAGTTTTGAGCCATGGGCTCTATGTTCTTTTTTTTTCTAATATGAGCTATATAAATATACTTTCAAACTGTATGCGCTCCTACACCATTCAAGCGATTGCGATTAAACTGAGGTGAGTTGTTTTCCACAAGCCAGAGTATTTTTCTAAGTCATTATAACCCTTCTAAATATTCCGTTACGGGCAATTGGCCCCTAAGAGAAAAAGTTAAGAATAGCTTTTAACACCATGAATAGTATCGTACAATGAACATAAACCTGCTCTTAGTGCTCATTTCATTTCTACTGTTAACTGAAAAAGGCTCGATGCCGAAAAGTCTTTATCTTTTTGTCCTCTTTATAATTCACGCTTCCATATACCTCGTTGTGCTATTTCATTCAATTGATCTTATATTGTAAAGACATAGAAATTGTAAGATTCGGTCATTTTAGCGAAGTATAAAAGGCACTTTCCAAATAAGGATCACAGAGGTTTTTTGCCTTTATCCCCAAGTATATTTATTTTTTACGCTTTCGATGATCCTGATTAAAAGTCGAAGAAAATTATCACGTATGCACATTTAAAATGTTTATTAAATCTATTTCTAAGGGGAGTATAAGTTAAAATATATAATGGGAAATAAATAATAATTTAAAATATACATAAGATATTAAAATACTAATTATGGAACACAATGATTTCTTTAAAAAAATGTTATCTTTATATTTTGGTGAAATTATGTTTCTTTTTTATGCAATGACATCATACTTGGTTCTTTCTAAAGCTGAACAGTTTAAATATTGTCTTAAGAGAAACATAATTTATTTATATGCTTCAATTTTATGTTAATTTAGTTAAAGATCCTGATTGCAAATGTATGTTATTGCAAAAGTGATTATCTTTTGGACAGCCTCCTGGAGAGAATTATTGAAAAACTTTACATTTACTGACGTTTTGAGCATAAAAAGTAGCATCAATAGTAATGCTGGGTTGCGGACCACAACCGTTACATCCAAACTTGGGGTACACATTTTCACAGGGTGTAGATATTCTCATCGGAGATACACTCTCAAAATGTGATGAAAACCTCACAGGGGATAACACTAAAGGAAAAAAGTTTACAAATTTACAGAGCTCCACAAAATTGGTTTCATAACAAATCTAAGTTTAATACAAAAATCATGAACCAGCTGCCACCAGAGTAAAGAACCACGATAACAGAATGTCATTACAGCCGGGTGTTACATGTCACCAGCGTCGGTTACCACCAGAGCAGACTGATTCGTAAAAAGTTCATGAAAATGTCGGAATTGTATGACACGTTGATTTTACTAACTGGATGGAGCTAAGACTAGTGACGCAACTAAGCATGCGATCATACAGGCTACAAGTAAAGAAGGGACGTGTACAAAACGAGATGACAGTTCGCCCTGCTGAGTCACTTGTATTGTTGCCTATGACTCTTACAAAAACTAGAAGCTATATCGCCTGCAAGAGAAATCTTTTTTGAAAAAAATTAATAAACATGCTTTATCAAAAATTGTGTTCTTTTGAGTCCTCATGTCACACTTACTGAGTATGATATTTGAAGTAATTGTTATAACGCTTATAACTAATTGATTAATTTAAAGAGAATAAAAAACGTTATTCACTGAAACAATTAATTTTTTTTTAAATGTAATAAACGATGTTAAATCAAAAATGTTTACAATTTAATATTTAAGTTCTTGTTGCTCTTAGCATGTGATCATTAAAACAAAGAGCTCAACATATTTTGAAATTAATTATGTTTCCAAAAAATATTCTTTTACATATATAGTATCATAGTATGCAAAGTAATAATGATATCAAAAAGAAACTTCTGAAACTCGAAATGTTGCAATACCTCTGCAATGAAAAATGAAATCAATTTCTGAAAAAGTAACACATTTCGCTTCATTTTGTGCGTTTCTCTTTACTTCCATAATTTCATTAACAAATTTGGATCTTAATTGTTACACAAAAAATGTTACAAAACGATGCAATTACTTATAATTACCGTCTAGAAGTTTTCAAACTAAGTTCATTTCTATATTTTATTTGAGATTAATTTATGACACAAGTGTAATGAAATTAAAGAAATGCTTATGTCAGCTTTAAGACAATGTTTCAAGCAGTGTACTCTTAGCATTTTGTAATCATTGTTTCACTCTATAATAAAATTAGTCTCGCCTTCCTGCTCAGCCAAATGAGGTGTAAAAATATATGACATTTCATTTTTTTTAAAAATGCATTTGGAAATATACCTAATGAATTTTACATTGAGAAATGAAATCAGCATTAATTTTATATCCAGCACACATAAAAATGTTTATTTATTTGGTTTTAATTATACTATAAAAGGAATATTCCAAACAAAAATTTAATTTAAGGAAGTATTTTTAGCACCATTGGATAACAGGAATCTTTTTATCGCTGTATAACCCGCGTGTCCAGCTATTGTTAAAGCTGTAACATTATTTTCATTGTTGAGGTTGACTTTTGCCTCTTTTTGAACAAGTAATTTAACTGTATCGAAATGGCCCATTTCGCAGGCAAACATTAAGGCTGTCGTTCCGTTAGACGTTTGGAAATTTACATTGTTTATAGTTGAAATCAACAAGGCCGCAATGTCTGTTAACCCGTTTCGACTAGCAATCATTAAAGCTGTCATGTCATCAGCGTCCCTTTTGTTAATAAGAGCTTTATTTTTAATAAGCCTTTCAACTTCTTCTTTATTTTCGTTTCGGACGGCAACGTGTAATGGGGTGTCACCTTGACGAATGCTTAATCCCATCATATTTTCGTTTTGCCAATATGTAGAGATGGAATCTTCCTCATATGATTCTTTTATGGCTGCGTTCCTTTCAGCGTCCTTAATCTCTATTTCGCAAATTCTCTCGTTTGATAAATTACTTTCCTGTAATATTAAAGTGGAAAAAATACCTTTAAACAATTAATATGTTTGTATATCTCATATTTAAAAAAAATATCTTGTATATTAGCTTCCACAATCATTTATACAAAAGTTCATTTATCATAATAACATCACGTTTAATGAATTAAATGATTAATGAATAAATGTATATGTATATTTGTGTGTGTGTGTCTCAAAAGTAATAACCCCATATTTTAATTTCTACTCCCCAAAGACCCTCAAACAACTTCCTCCCCTCTCATCCCGTTAAAATAATACTCTAAAAAAAGAATTAAGACCTTTTGCATTTTGTTTGCCTTAAAGTACGATAGAAAATTATCTGTTTTAATATACATGCGAAAAAAAATATGCGCTTTTAATAAACTAGGAACCTGATTATCCACATTTCATACACTTATATTTAACAAGATGTGTAAGTACTTTTAATGTAATAGTATAAACAACATTGAAGATATTTCTGTTTTGTTTTTGTTTTTTTTAAATGACCTTGTAAACTATCTTCTTAGAAATATATATATATTTATTATTGGGGGAAACGCAGACACGTTAACCGTGTAAAATGCGGGAATAGATGCACGCAGTTCCAGACACACATACTTTAAGTATTTTTGTTCCAAGCTAGACCATTGAATATGTTTCTTCTGATAAAGTTTTTTTTAAAAATTAAGACATGTGTAATTATTGGCATTCTATCACAAACTATTTTATTAGTAATTTTTATAGTTAATGGGGTATCATCGTTGTCAGTTATTAAAGGGAGTAATTTTGTGGTGGAGCAAACTTTTGACTTTCAATGACGTAGACTTGTGTTGCTTTTTTTTTGTGTGTGCATTGGGTGCGTCTATGATCAAAAGCGCGACCGAGGGAATCATCAAATGAGACCACATCGCGGTATCCAATGGGGGTTGGGCGGACATGATCCACTTAGGTTTATTATTATTTTAAATTTTACTTTGTGTGTTTGTTTTTTTCCACGTAAAGGCCAATTACAGTTATTTTTATTTACAATTAAATGATTGAAAATTCAATAATCAGATAAAAGTTTTAGTTTCATTATGGCCAATCTTGAAACAATCTTTATAATTTTATCTTTAACACATTTATATACAAAATTAAGTCCCGTATCTCTTGGAATTAAATCAAAATAGACGATTCAGTAATCTTTTTCTTGTTATTTTAAATATTATTATTATAATTAAAACAATAATTAAATAAGACAAATTGTTGGTTCCATCAAAGGCAGTTAAAATAGCCCAACAAGATTGTCGATGTCTATACACAGGCATCATTAGATTCCTAGAAACCATTTCGTGCTCAAAGCCAGGGCTAGTCAATGCATTGTCAGTTTTAAAAACATCTTTAAAATGCAGAATATAAAACACAACACTAACAAGTCTGTTGCCTTGCAGCCATTTGCAATAATTGTATTACAGCATCTCTCTCACACGACGCAATCACATCCTACGATGACAGAAGAAGACAAACAAATAATTTCTAATTAAAATAATATTGATACTTACGTTAGGGCTTTGAAAAGAACCATCTGTACAATCTTTAATATATTTATTTTCTGTACATTCTGTGTTGGATTTATAAACATATTGTATAATTGATATTAAAGAAAATGCTCATACTAGCACATCTTTCTATGTAATGTTTTTTTTTTCCAAAATCCAAGCAACTTTAAGTTCTGATAACAACTTATCTTCTACCTTACACAGTTAGAAGCATTGGTAAAATAAGCGTGATTATTTTAAAGAAAAATATGGGAGGGGGGGCGAATTAACATTCAATAAGAAAAATAAATTATATTTGGATTTACGTATCAACATACGAAGTTCATACTTATCTTGTGACCGAGTGCGTCACAAAAAGTAAAAATGGAAAAAAATAATCTATGTGTTGCAAAGATAACTCTAAAATATAAATCATATGTCTTTTTAAACGAAAGTTATACATTATATGAATGTTTAGAAAAACACATTGATTTATCGCAAGTTATTAATTTTTAATTTAGTGTTCAAATTTGTGTTAAAAATGTGTATCATCAAAACAATGAATTAAAACATTGGTAATGTTAGTGATAACTTCTTTAAAGTTTCTATTGATTCTTTTTTGAGCCCTTAGTTTAGCCTGGCAACAACTTAACTTTCTAAGTACCATAAATATGTAATATGTATAACATTTAGAATTGATGTCTAGTTGGTCCTCTTCTCAGAGACGAACCCTGACTTCTGTTTCGTGCACCCTCCATCCCCTTCATTCAAAATTGTTCAAATGTTGTTGTTTTTTCATGTATCCCAACTTTAGACCCATCAATATGCGAGGCACCTGCAGCCGCAGGGTTTACATTTCCTGCGCAATGGCAGTATGCATATAGAGGGACATCTGCTTTTTACTACTCGTATACTGCAACTGGTGTATTTTTATTGTTATGAGTTCATATACATTCTTATCTTAAAAGTATCAAAAGGAATGTGGGAGGAACATTTATGCCAGGTTTACAATCCAAAAAGTGCATCAACAGCTGATCATTGCCTTTAATTAAAACTTATTCTCTGCATTAAGTATTATATGTTGTATAGAACCTATAAATATATCTCCTAGTTTAATTTTAATAGTTATTTTATTTTAAGGGACATATTCCATCTTTGTTTCGGATGTTAAGATAAATTTACATTTAAATACAACTATAGGTATTATAAAATTAATAATTTTCTTTATTTTTTTTTTACAAATGCACTTGTATCAAAGAGGAACACATTTTCATTTCTTTAAATGGAATTGCTTTACAATAATATTTACATAAATAAAGCAATTCTTGAATGATTAATGTCCTATTTTGCAGATAATAATCGGTTATTGTTTTTATTGTTCTTTTATTCTTTTGCTGTCTATTATTTTAAAATAAATTTAATATTAACTCTGTGTCTTTAAATATTCGTAGTTCCCTTTTTTTTTTGTTTAATGCTGTTGTTACCTTTCGTGTTTTCATATAAAGCTGTAGTTGGCGTCACTTCTGTAAATGTAAAATAGGCGATATTGGCATGTAACATATGATATCAAATATTTTTTTTTTTTAAATTAAAGAATAGGTTAATATTTTTTTTTTTTTAAATCGTCTTCTTAATTGAAGGATAATGAAGGAATAACTTCGTTCGAGTTATGTGAAGGAGTGAAATATGGTAAGTTATAGCTGTATATATATATATATAAAAAGTGAAAATAAAAAAAAAGAGTACGATTCATCAAAGAGCCTTCTTCATCAAATGGACAAATGAAGAAACAACTTCATTTAGCAAGAAATTTAAAATCTTAAGTGTTTGGAGTTCACCATTATAGCGAGAGGGTGGTTTTATTTACTTAAGTGTGTTAAAAACAATAGTTTTAAACGAAACTTAAACAATCATTCAAAACGTATGTTAAACTTGTTTGGCTACCTGACTTACTTTCTCCCAGAAGAGGTTTACTTTCAGATGATGCTGTAATACATTATAATGTAAATGTCAAAAAAAAAAAAATTAATGTAAAGAAAAATTAAAATACATTGTCGCGCTCGCTACATTCTATTATATATGTTATTTATATTAAATAGTTAATTCATATAAAATAGCATATACTAATTTTAAAAAAATGTTTCTTAGAATTATAATAATTACATTTCTGTAAAAAAAGTTCATGAACTCATAATATCCATTTCTCTGGGGCCCGGGGCCCCAGTTAATTTTTTTCTTTAAATAAGCTATATGAATATCAATAGGGTTAGACAACGGTATAGGTTCTATGTGAATTTATTGATCTAAGCCTAGCTTTGTTCATCACGCTTCTTAGTCCGTATTGAAATATCCGTGGATTTAAAACTAATAATATCCAATCTAGAAATTTTCAGAAAATTTGATAATTTAAAAAAGCTATATTTATTTCATTTTAAATCGATTTTAATGGGACAAATATTACATTTTAATTCTATAATTAATATTATTGATTTTTATAGCCCATCTCAGACATACCTAAAACGTGTTTTTTTTTCTTAAATGGGCCCCCACGGGGCTCCTATTTTAGTTTAAATTTGCTATAGTTATAGTACTGAAAATTAATTGTATAATATTTTGTATTTGAAAAATATTTACTTAGAAAAGTAATTTTTTGCAGATTTCATGGAGCATATTAAATTAAATCTATAATGTTCCAGAAGATTCTGAGTGGTTATATAACATGATCTTAAAGATTATTGGAACCAAATCGCACTGAGCATGATGCCATAGTGGAATAAGATCCTAATGTGGAGCGATATCTATTAGTATACTGGAACCCATTGGTAACGCGATCTCAAACCGGGATTAAACCGGGATCGGGACTATCGGAAACGGAATAAAATTGGAAAAGAGAGTCCCAAGGTGAAATGGGATCCCGTAGAGACCGGTATCCTAACGGGATCGGTAGCCCATAGGGATCCACCAAGCTCGAGATCCCAACAAATTCCAGATATCGTCGGGTTCGGGATCCCAACAGGATCTGGATTCCCCTGGATCCGGAGCAACAAGAAAATGGGATACAACAAGGATTGTGATCACACCTGGAAACGGTTTTGATCTGGGATAGGCGTCAAAATAGGATTGGGGTCTCTTAGGGATAGGAGTCAAATCAGGATCGGGGTCCTAAAGCAATCCAGGGCCACGCGGGTGTATCGGCTAGTATATTGTAAATCAAATTGACAAAAAAAAATGTTTTTGTTAAACATTTACTGTAAATAAAGATAACAATACATTGTTTTCGGTATTTTCTTTTCTTGTAGGTCCTTCGTGTATGGATATATAAGAGAAAACAATAATTGAAATAATGTCTCTCGGAATAAAAATACATCACATTTCTGTAAAAAAAATAATCACAGCTGAGGTTCATTTCCAGTTAATTCTGTAAATCGTGATAAGAGTGCATACAAATAAAGGGATTGATGTTACATTATATATTGCTGTATTTTAAGTATATTTTATTTATAAAATGTTTTTAAAATAGTTTATAAATGAAATTTTAACCGTTATTAAAAACGTATGTAAAACCTATTCGCGTCCCTCACTTATTTTCTACTAGAATATTTTTATTTTTAGTTGATGCTGCAATACTTTATAAAGCAAATTTCAAAAACATATTTTTGGAATTGTTCTTAATTTAAAGAAAGGTAAGGATACATTGGTTGTTCGACCTTCTAGTTTTAGAATAAAAATACATCTCATTTCTGTAAAAAAAATCATTTCAGAGGTTCTTTTTTTTTGAGTTATTTCTGTAAATCTAGGTACATAGCACATACGTATAAAATGTTCAATACAAACTTATATTTTGCTATTATAATAAATACATTTTATTAACTTAAGTATGTTCAAAACAAATAATTTATGAACGAAACTTTAAAAATCATTAAAAAAATGTAATTAAACTTATTTTTATACCTGGCTTATTTTCTCCTTGAAAATGTTTACTTTTTGGCGATGCTGTAAAATAAATAAAGGAAATGTAAAAAAAAAGTTAGAATAAGTTTTTGAAGTATGATAATAATACATTGTTTTCGGTACCTTCTATTCTTTTTGTTCATCATATTAAATTATATATGTATCTATAAAAGCATATTCCAATTGAAATAGTGTTAATTGTGATTTAAAAAATTACATTCCTGTAAAAAAAAATAACAGCAGAGGTTATTTTCCGTTTAATTCTGTAAATATTGATACAGTGTCCAGACATATGAAGTGTTCAACATAATCTTACATTTTAATAGTATTATAAATATATTTAAAGTCATTATAGATGAGGGTTGTTTTATTTGTCATATATTCAATGTCATAACGACTACGGGAATCGATCTACAGGTTTTCACGTTTTTCTTGTCTTGCCAATCAATATTAACGTGATACATCAATTCGGGTTGCTTATGGTGTTTTTATTTGAATAGGATTTTGTAAGAATTTAACAACGGACTTTAATATTTGGATTGACTCAATTTAAAACACTCGGCCACCCGGCACCAATAATAATAATAAAATGGCAATACTACTGAATTTGGTAAACAATATAACGTGTATGAATTTAAAATTTTAATCATCGTCTTTAATGAAACATAGTGCACTTTATGGACGATATTTAAAGCAATTTAAATTTTTTTTCTAAATAAGATTATAATTCCCTAGTATAACAACTATGTGTGGACTTTACAATTGACTATGACATCATCAAAAGAAAATATCTATACGAGACTCTACAGGAGTTTGGAATTCCCAAAAAACTGACAAGACTAATACATGTAACGTTATATAACTCAAAACGCTATAAAAAGAGTTGTAGTGAAAATATTCAAGGGAATTTTAGATTTGACAAAGATAAAGAGGATAAATGTCTTTTATGTTATTTAACCTAATATTAGTGAGAGTTATCGCAAACATACAGATTGACACCCGAGGAGCAATAACAGGATACTTTATGAAGGAAAACCAAAACCCAAAACCAATGGGCACTCTTTACAATCAACCCCTTCAGTATCTTGCATCAATTGTTGATAAGCACTGTTAGGGAAACATATTCAACATATATCAAAAACATTTATTGAATTAGAAGACGCATCACTAAAAAATAAGTTGTCAAGTTTAAAAAAAATAGATGACTATGATCAGAGAAGAAAAGTCGGATGGAACTATTAAAATTATAAACCCATTCCATTACCTAGGATTATTAACGAATGAAAAAAAGAATTACTAAGAAAAATAAAGCAATAAATTTCGACGGTAACAGGGCACACTTCAATAGTATGAAAATACTCAAAAGTAAAAACACTGCAACATAAAAAAAAGAAAACTGTTTATAAAAATGTAATCAGACCAGTTGTAACTTTTGCAAGTGGAACTTGGAACCTAACATTAAACGTCACAAAACTTGTTCAATAAAATTGAGAGAAAAGGACTGCGGGTACTAATATTGAAAAACAAAAGATGACTTTAGATGAAAAATTGAAACGAACCAGGATTGGTATAGTTTTATTTAAGGATACCACGCTAGCAGAAAAATACAAAAGTGCAGGGTACGCAAAGCGGGATAGACAGAGGCGTGAACAGTGTGCACCACAAAATCCGTTTTTCTCTGGGCTTAGCCGGCAGTAAACGCAGTAGATCAAACGAATTTGGCCACGCCTTTCAGGAATGTAGCATCTGCTAGGAATCTAATTTGGGGTCAAGCAAAGTTCACGCACGGGGAAAAAGTGTTATACATAACACTATTGTTAAAACTACATGAATTCAGGATTGAAATCAGCTACTATTTGAAATAATTGATTTAGATTCAACGCAGCATATATGGTCTTTTAATTTGTTGCTGCTAATAAATGATTTACTAATAAAAAATACAATTCTTTTCTGAAATATTGGTAGTGTTATTTTTTTTTTTGGATAAAAGTTTTGCCCAATCTATATATATAAAAATGATTGTTTGTATGTCTGTATGTCTCGTATGCGCTCCTACACCATTCATGCGATTGCAACAAAACTTTGGACAGTTGTTGACCACATAACCGGCCATTTAACTAAGTCATTAAAAAACTTATAAAGAATTCTCTTCCTAACCGTTGGCCCTTAATTTTTTTTTTTAATTCAAAAATTAGCTTTGTAAAAAATTTTTTCCACATGCGCTCCTAAGCAATTTATCCGATTCATATAAAACTTTGGAGAAATGTTGTCAGCATGTCCATAAAGGTTTTTAAATTGCTACAATCGTTTTAAATTATTCAGTTTTGAGCCAGGGGCTCTATGTTGCATTGTCCTTATATGAGCTATATAAATATATTGTCAAACCGTATGCGCTCCTACACCATTCATGTGATTGCTGCAAAACTTAGTGAGTTGTTGTCCATGCGCCAGTGCATTTTACTGTGTTATTTAAACACTTTTAAGAACATTCTGTTTTCGGCCGATGGCCCTTAATTCGTTTTTTTTCTCATATGAGCTTTGTAAAAAATATTTTTCAAATGCACTCCTACGCCATTCATCCGATTCCGATAAATTTTTGGTGAAATGTTGCAAGCTTCTCTATAAAGGCTTTTAAACTATTACAACCGTTTTAAAGTATTCAGTTTTGAGCCAGGGGCCTCATATTCGTTTTTCCTAATATGAGCTATATAAATATATTTTCAAACCATATTATGCGCTCCTACACCAATCATGCGATTGCTACAAAACTTAGTGAGTTGTTGTCCATGCGCCAATGCATTTTACTGTGTTATTTAAACACAAAGGGTTTTAAATTATTATAAATTTTTCAAAATATTCCAATTTGAGCCAGCGGCCCTATTTACGTTTTTTTCTTATACGAGCTATATAAATATAATTTCAAATCGTATGCGCTCCTGCACCATACTGTTCAAGTTGTTTTTTTTTCCCCTTAAGACGAAAAAAAATAAGCTTAGTAATAATCAAAGAATAATTTAAATACAATTATATTTTAAATACGGATCGGCTAAATCACTTAACGAGAAATCGAAAATTAAGTTATTTTTTTAAGATCCGACTAGCGGATATTGGTACCATGAAGGACATTTGTTTTCTGTAGACAAATTGATCGTTAAATTTCTTTACATGCGTGTGATAGACGATTAACTAGCTACACACGGCAACATTTAATGAATTAGTACCTTTTTACCTTGGCCTTTGCACGAAAGCGGGCAAAATTGAACAGCCCTCCATTTGATCTACACTCAGTTAGTACAAAATGTAGACTTTTTCTTTAGCAATTGTGAATTATTATGTACCAGCATTGGGTTTTTACCCCTTGATTAGCGAATAATCACGACAAAACAGCATATAAAAATTAATGTTATTCTTTTTTTTTCCAGAAACCATGTGCGAGTCTATCGACATGTCATTAGTTTTAATTTTTTTTATTATTTTTATTTTTAATTTCACCGTAATATATGTTTCTTATTTACCAATTTCTTTTCAACTCCTTTTATTTTCCGTGCCTTTAATATTTTTATTAATAAATGTGTTCAAAGATTTTAAAAAAAACCTTTAATTAACTTAAACAAGTAAATATAAAGTTTTGAATATACATTATGACAACAATTTAGAGAAATAAATAGTTATTTATCAATTATAGATCCATACCATTATCATCGTTTTCTTGAGTGACGCTCTCTTCAGGTAATCTTTCTGTAAAATTAATTTTATTTTCACAAATTCAAAATTGTTTTTAATAGTATTTATTTTCTGTTTTCTGTTATTCTTAGTAAAACGTTTTTTTTTTTAAAATATATAACTAAAAACTAATTAATTGTCTTTACAACGCATTATGATAAATATTAAATTATTTGTTAAAAAATATCGAAAAGTTTCAAAAAAATTATGCAGTAAATTGTTTCCATTATCGTATTGATATTTTGATTTCATTTTAAGGTAATACTTTAAATATATTATTCATTTATAATTTTTTTTTTTCAATAACACTTGTGTGATAATACTTTTCAGCAAATATTTACGATAAAAGGGCTAAAAAGTCATAGTGTTCTGTGTTTCGGAAACCTTTTGATTAAAGGCGTATGTCCTTTATTTTTAATCTTTATCATTTTAAGGTAATACTTTAAATATATTATTCATTTATAATTTTTTTTTTTCAATAACACTTGAGTGATAATACTTTTCAGCAAATATTTACGATAAAAGGGCTAAAAAGTCATAGTGTTCTGTGTTTCGGAAACCTTTTGATTAAAGGCGTATGTCCTTTATTTTTAATCTTTAAAAAAAAAAAAAAAAAAAAAAAAAAAAAAAAAAACATTGTTTTTTAAAGAAGTTATGTATGAGTGAAAGTAAAAAAAAATGTCCAAACTTTTTTAAGCATTAGGTTCAGTATAACTTTTTACCTTCCACTTATGATAGTTCGTTAATAGAGATTTATGGGTAAGGGTAAGCCAACTTTTAACATGTTAATAAGCCACGTATATGATAGAAGAATTCGAATTGTAAATTTGGTTGCAATTTATTGGTTAGTTTTCGTGAAATAATGGAACTATTAATTAACATTGTCATACTTAGCTTCATTAAGTTAATTGTTGAATTTTAAATACATTAAAAAAAAGAAATTGCAACCTGCTTTGGAAGTGTATAAAACTGAAAGTATGTGTACATTTCTCACAAAAATCTCTATATATTACCTCTAATTTGAAGTCTACTTTATAGAAAATAATAAAGTTTGTAATATATTTATTTTTTTGAATTTGGTTCTTCTCTTTAAAGTAGAGGAAATCTTTTGATCATGCACTAATAGCAAAAAAAAAAAAAAATGAAGAAATTCGCGAAAAATCTAAATGCAATATTGTTTCGAAATTGCAGAAACACGATTTAAATACTGTAATTTAATATAAATGTATAAATATATAATAATATGACTATATCCAAACATCTTACATTTTATTATTATTATTTATTGGTTTTGACATATTATTATATCACCTTCAAATTTTGTTTTATTTAATTTAAAACTATAAAAAGGTGTTATTATAAATAAATTTCAATCAAATTTTATGATTGATTTGTCAATACATACTTTCAGGTCCTATATTTTGAGATCTGAAATATAAATGTAATTAAAAAATATAAATTAAAATTCACAAGCAAATTTAATTGTAATGTTGACTACTCATTAAGAAAACCAAATAAATATTTTTTTTTTTTAATTATAAAATTTAAAAAAAAAGGTTGATTATTTATATAATGTTAAACAATAATCACTTATTTTTTTCATTAAAATTATTCCATGATTGTTAACAACAATTCACTAAATCTAGAATAAAAATTTATGTTTTTACTAAATCATGTGCATTCACTTTTTTTTCTAATATAAAAAGTAAAAAAATTTCAAAATACTCCCAACGTGACATTTAAATATTACCTGTAGCCTATGCTCTAATTATTATTTGATCTGCTTTCTTAAACACCACAAATGTAAATATTTTTAATCAGTTTTTCTTTAAATTGCACAGTTATTAAAGGAGCTAGAAAACTCTCTGGAAACGATCAATATGATTTAAAAATAACATGTATATCAAAGTAAGTATTATTTTTTTTATAAGAGCACAGGAAATTCAATATATTTTAAACACTTGTGAAATCAATTCAAACAAGAATATTATACAATTACTATAAGTATGCTCCTTATTATAAGAATATGTTTTCAAAAAATGTATATTGAATTAGCCGCTTCATATTTTGATTGACTTAAAAATTGATACATACGTGTAATGCTAAGTAACTATCGGAAGTATTGTGTGACAAATACTTATAATGTTATGGAACATATATCGAATTTACAAATAAAATGTAATTAATTCATTTTTTTACACATTATCCCGTTCCTGTTGTTGTCTTTTGTAGCAGCAGATTATTTCCTTACATAATTTATTTACTCTTTTTCTGAAAAAAAAAAACGAACTTAAAACAAGTTTAAGTTAAAACGTTAATGAAATAAAGTGATCATATATTTTATGTTTTTCTTTGTAATCAATAACTAAATATAATAAATTACTTTTATTATATTAATTTGAGGTATTTGTTTTTAAATCGAAAACAAAACTAGAAACTATGATTTTTTATCCAAATGTGTCCACAAGTTTTTTTTAATAGTATGAGTATTCAATTAAAATATTTGAATATTTGAATCATAAAATATTCTATATATTTCATTTTAGAAAAGATTAGATAGCTTACTTAGGAGAACCTAATTTAAAATTTCCCCAGACATGATAAACAAAACTTTCAAAGTAGACTGATAAGTTACATTGAAAGATAGAAAGGAATTCATGTCAGATTTTTTTTTTTTTTAAAATCCAGAAAGGATATCCACAAAACAAAGACAAACGAAACTTTTTCTCATTTTAGAAGCAGAAGAAACAAAAAATACCAAACATAAGAAACTAAGTGAAATATTTACAGATATTAAGGGACAAAGGAAAGACAGCCGAAGCACGAAAAGAGACATAGATAAGCACAACAATAGGGAATATATTAAAATATTTACGTTCGATTTACTTTGATTTAACTGATTTAAATAAATAATTATCTAAAAAAACCTTTAGACTTGTTTAGTAATTAAAACTTAAAATGAAACATACATACAGCAAATAATTACCTGAAAAGTATGTAAAGGATTACTGTAATAATGAAAATTGGCAAGATAATTGAACAAGACACAATAGCTGATATCGAGATTTGTTTAAGGTAATCTTGTGAATCTGTATAAAAATAATTTTTTTAAAAGTTAAATTAAAGCCAAATAATGAGAGAAAAATAACATTAATAGGTTTTTTTGTTTGCAATAATTTCCTTCTTGTCATGAATCAATTTTTATAGTGGTTAAGATTTTAATAAAAATCTTTCCAGGGTGCAATATGTCAATTTCAAAAATGCCATGAATTATTTATGTATTTTTTAAAATACGGGTGAATCTAAATTAAACACATCACACAACATGCATACACATTTTTTATGAGATCAGCACACTTAAGCACACTCCATTTAAAATACCCAATCCATAGGCATTGGGTGGTATTAAATCGGAGTAACTGAACTGCCTGTTTAAGTCAAACACAAATCAAATATATTGGCAAACTTTCCTAGTGTTAGGGTTAAACGCCTAGGCTTTGAAATAACTTGATATTTGAGTGAAGGCCCATTGAACGACAAAAACGTTTCTAACACTAAAGAAATGATCTGATCATCATGACCCTGTAGCTTTTTTTGAATGACGCTAACATTGGCTTCAAACTCGAAAATCAATAGCGACGCAATTACGTGTGTTGAAACGTCGCACATCGTCGTACGTGAATTTGTAGTTTTTTCATAACTTTACCGTCTATAGATGATGTAATATTTAGGATGACTCGAGTTTTCGTAACAATATTAATTAACCAAGTGACTTCTTATTGAATAGTTCGTTGAATAGATCTGCCAAATTCTTTATACTGAAGCCGTGTTCACAAGCCTTTTCGTTTTAGCAAAAATGTTGCTCAATTATAAATACATACCCTCCCACATTTTGAACATGGTTATGCTTTCATCAAAGGGACATCACTCTAACAGCAACGTATAGATAAATCAACAAACACATTTCCATCTGTAAGATCCATGATTTTTAGTACTGATAATTTAGGTGCATACTGTTTATGTTTTCTTTCAGAATTTTACAAAGTTTTTAAAGTAACAATAAATAGTGCAAACGCTATTAATGAGTCGTACAGTCATATATTGTCGTTTGTGTGTTTATTTATTTTC